AGCTTTTGCAATTCTCCAAAACCATTTTATCAATCAAAAGTTGATCTTTTGTATCTCTGCTTTTCCTTTCATTTCCTTTCTGTTCTACTGGAAGGATGTTATTTTCTTCCAAATAATCTTGGATGTTGCCTGCTATTATGCCTATGAGCAATTTAAATATCGTAGGCAAGCATGTTATCAGCCTATAGTTTCTTGGTGTTGTCCCTTTCACTGGGTCTTTTTGAATCAGATCAGTTTTGCCAGTCATTAACCAGTCACTGATTTATGCAATACCTCATTACGCTGTTTAGCTATAACTGGATGTGAGCTAGTCAGATATTTGAGCCAAAAGCCATCATTTCCAGATGTCCAGTTTTTAATCCTTTTCACTCAATTTTTAACTATTTCTGCTGTTACAATTAGTTCTTTCATTTGATTTTTACCAAATTCATCTTCAAATTCTTTTATCCATCTAGCATATTTTAATTACAGCCTTTCTGAGTTTCCCATAGATCTTTCCAAAACTGGATTGTTTCATTTTTGTTTGGTTTTCCATTTTCAGAATTTCTATTGTCATTTATACTTCAGTAGAATTGCCTCTGGTCTGATTGAAATAACTGATTTTGCTTAAATTGGACAATTTGTGCTTCTTAGCTTTCAATTTTCCAAGCTCTTGTTATTATTTGTTGCTTTATGATTTCCAAAGCTTCTTCAATTTTTCTGGTGTTGTGCCAATACTTTTTAATTCGGCTTGTCTTGATCCTTACATTCTTCAATTTTTGTTCTTTTATGTTCTTTAAAGTATTTGCATCTGATTTTAATTTCTTTGTCTTGGCCTACAGTCTGATCTTCCACTTTGGGATTGAATATGATTTTGCTTTTGGTTTTCTAATTTCTATACCCAGTTTTTCTGTGACCACACTGCTATACTGTAGGCAAGCTGATTGGTCTGTTCAATAGATGCTATTTTAATCCTTACAAGCACTTTATTCACATCCTTCATTATAGGTGCCAGGTCTTTTTTGGGCACTCCTTTCAACATTGGCAGTCTTTGTCTTTCTACTGGTAATTGTGCATATGCCATAATTTTTTCCTTTAATTCTTCTTGTCGAGGGGGTCTTCCTTTCATAGGTTGTTTCAGTGCTGGCTTGTACTGGTTCTATTTTTACTTCTTCTAAGTTATCATTTCTGTAGTTCATAGTTTCCTCTATATTTCTAATTGTTGTTGTCTGGGTTTCTTCTACTATTCTACTATTGTTTTGGGGTCTTCCATTTTCACAATTTTTCTGAATGTCTTCCAGTTCTGCATCTCTGAATATTTTATTTCTGGTAATGAATCTCCTCTGATCTGCTAATCCTTGTTCAGTGATATTTGAGTCTGGATAAATTCGTTTTCACAGTTCAAACATTTGCTTTAAGTAGCCCTGCTTTGTTGGTTCCAATTTATAATAGCAGGGGATAATGGTGCATTTTCAAACACAGTATACTTTTGTCTTGTCTGTGGTTGATGTTCTTCCAGTAATCCTACAGGGCTAAGACCTGCTTGCCCAGCCATAGCTCCTGAGTTCCATTCCCCACTTGTCGACAGATGCCCAGGAACTCTAACACCCGATGTGGTCCTTGTTGACCCAGGCAACGACCAATCCAGTATAGGATTCTTTTTCTATTTTCTCACCATAATTAATGGATTGATGGATACACTTAATCTGGCTCTTCTGCTGAGACCTGTCTGGCTTGGGTGACCCTTCTGGTAGAATACACTACTGCCAGCATGGCCCTCAACCTCATCAGAGCATCACAAGCCCTCCCCCCTGACAAGTGGGTATCCATGGAGGGGATTATTATTATGGTTGGTCACACAGTCAGCCAGATATCTGGACTGGATTTGGCATTTTTACCCACCTATTGAGTCCTTTCCAAGGACCTGGGATAGGCAATGTTGTTGTTTGATGGTGTTAAAGGTACCATCGCAGAATATAAGCTTTCCAAGTAAAGCTGCCTTTTGCAATTGAGTGATGGTGATTTTGTCAATGCTGATGGTATTCAAGTGGTGCTCCAGATGTTTTGGGATTGCACCTAAGGCGCCTATAACTATTGGTACTATCTTTGCTTTCTTTTGCCCTAGTGGTTCTACTTTTATTTGCAGGTCTTTATATTTTGTGATTGTCTCCAGTTCTTTCTCTTCTATTCTGCTGTCTTCAGGTATTGCAATGTCCACTATCCAGACTTTTTTGTCTTTCTTATCTATTATTATTATTATTATTATTATTATTATTATTATTATTATTATTATTTACTAAGCTAATCAGTGATACAAATAAAATAATAAAGCAAGTTCTAGCTTGTTGGTGACTCTGAGGGTCTACTTTTCTAAAATAAAAGTAGATATTTAGATGTGTTCCAGCAGGGTTCAGATGGGGTAACTTTTTTTTTTCAAAGCTGCAATGCAGAGGAAGAATAATATTTCTGCCTGTTAGTACAGAAGCTATCTTCAAACACACTGCAGGCTGCCAGTGTTGTTACTGAGCACAGCCTACCCAAATTCTGGAATGATTTTCCATTTGTAAAAAAAAAAAAAATCAGAATAACAATATTAATATTAACATTAGCATTAGCATTACATTAGTGTGGTAAGCATTTTAGTTCAACAGGAAGCATAATTTGTTGTTAATAAACTGGCCTGGGACTTTCTGCTGAATAGCAGCTTAGTTTTTTACAATCACAAAATTATAATTATTATATTGTCATAATTGCTATTATATAAACCAGCTGGCTGGGGAATTCTGGGAGTTGAAGTCCATACCTCTTAAAGTTGCTGTGGTTGAAAAACACCGATAAAAATCATTTAGAGTCCTTAGTCTGCCTTTCTTAACAGGATCTCCACTTGGCTGATAGCTCTTGCTTACATTGTTTCCAGGTTCCTGTTTGCTAGATAAGCTCTTCCTCCTATCCACTGACTAGAATCACATTTCACTACAGCTCTTGCATGCTAGGAACCAGGACTCAGAGGTAGAAGTCCAAAAGTAAAATGAAAATGCAACGCAATGCCATCCCGTGTGGCCATTGATGTACACAAAACGAACATTCCTGTTCATTTTCAATGGAGAAGACAGTTCTAATCATGTAATCAATTCTTTTAAAATGCACAGGAAAGTCTGCAATTATAAGTGGGCTGTTGCCAAGTGATGGAAGCCTAGATTTATTTTTAGAGTTCGAACTTCTCTGATAAGGGGATAGCATCCTTTCTCATGGAGAACAACTTAAAAATAAACAACTAATCATTCTTAATAGATGCAGTGCTGACAGTTCTAATGCTAATGAGAGCACATCCATCCGGCTTCTAAAGACTTATCAGCGTATGTAGTGTTACTACTAATGGACCCATCTCTCTATTCTCTGCTCTAATTGTTACCAATACATTTCAGCAAAGATTGATTACAATAATCATTCCCTTTTGCTGCCTGATAATTTTCCTTAAAAACAAAAACAAAAAATACCCCCCCTCCCAAACAACCCCCCAAAAAGTATGGTTTTAAAATGAGACTGGAGATTTCTCATCCAAAACCATGGGTTTTTATTCTCCCTAAAAATTATGCTTATCTGCCCTTACATTCTTCTTCTAGTCTGATTTCCAAATTTTCTTTGTTTTGAAAAAGGCCCTCTTCTGATAGTATTTCAGCAGTATGATACTTTTTCTCTCTGTTTAGTGTATTAATTCCCCAAGTCTTATTAAGTACATACAGCACATGTGTTCTTACAGAACATCTCCAGTTTAATGCCTGTTATCTCCAGGGCTGGAAAAGACATGTTTAAAAACTGAAAGGCAGCTAGCAATACTGAATTAGTTGCTTTAATTAGTTGAATCCCTGGAAGGAGATTCTTGATATTTCCAAACCAGTATTGTTCAAACTCCAAGAAAGGGTAATGCATCACAGGAAAGCCTTCATGTTAGTTGAAATCAGATTTGTTTTATATTTCTAGGTGTTTTAAATAATGTGCTGATTCCTAAATGTTGTTATTTGAAGGATGTATGCCATAAACGTTGTTGTCTGACAGGGTGTATGCCATAAATATAAAGTCTTAGTCTCAATATTTTCTCAGGATTTGCTCAAGTGGTGGATTGTCCTTCGCTGAGAATTTTAAATAGACAGCTGGCCAGCTATGTGTCAAAAAAGCTGTGGAAACAGCATTCTGAATTAAGCCAGCAGTTAGATAATCTCCAAGGTTTCTTTCAATTTTATAACCAAATTTAGAAGTTCTAGACATGGTCAGTGCTAAGAGAGAGAGAGACAGACAGAGACTACATGAGGCAACCAAAAGGAACTTTTGAATAAGCTCCCTGTGGATAACTTAAGACCCACTGTTTTCAAGAGAGCTAAGACATAGCTAGTTGTTGGGTTGCAATATATATGAAAACATACTCCAAAGCATTGTATTTTTGAGCAATGAGAGTACCTCTAGTAAAATTTCTATGCTTGAAGTGCAATATGTACTTTAGATAAGTATCTTGGGGGTGTTTAAATAAAAGACGTTCGTATTTTGCAAGTGATTGTGATGTGATCCTATACCATTTACTAATTTCTGCTATATTATTGGTATTACTGAACTTTGTCTCTTCTTTCTCTCTTTCTACTTTTAGTCAGATAAAGTAGAAATAAAGAAGTTCTACCAGAGTTCATTAAAATTTCGGGT